CGCGTCCTCCTTCTCTCACACACAGTGATGATTCAGAGAGGCGAGCTGTCTCTTTGGTACAAAGAAGAATGTAAAGGCAAAAAGGGGAATGAGAGACAGGCTGAATTGTGGTTTCCACTGCAAACTGTGAGTCACGAACACGAGGGAGTGACGGAGAGAGAAAAAAAAGAGACTATTCTGGGATGGCTGCCTAGGCAACATAATAAGCAAGGGGGCAGGTACTTGCGGGTATGTTTCCATAGCAATACCCTGTGTGTGTGTGTGTGTGTGTGTGTGTGTGTGTGTATGGATAAATATCACATGCCACAAAGCAGTTTGTAACATAGTAAGGAACTCTGCTCTACTTTGTAAGACAAAGTTTGTAATTGTTTTTTGAATGCAGCCTTGTGGTCTTTCTATGTCTGCACACTAGACCCATAAACAGACTGACATCGGGAACACCTTCGACAGGTTCAGGCTTGCCACTGCCATCACAATGTGCAGAGTAATTAAGTTACTCAAATCTTACATTTGCCCAATTGCTTCAACATATCAGCTCCCAGAAAATGAAGCAACTCCGTAGCACTGACACATTGATGGAGAAACAGGTACCTCTGTGTTTGCATCTGATTAGCCTAGTGAGTAATCAATATCTTTACACTAATCTCACAATCACTCACTATAAACTGTTCCGAACGATTGATTCAGGGGAGCGATAAAGGGTTTTGCAAGAGTTTCTCCTCCCTGTGTCTCACCACCCATCTGTTGTTGCTTCACAAGCAGATACCTTCCTGAGCTGCACATTCCAGTCATAGCTGTAAATGTTCCAACACTCCAACTCTTTCTTTGGGTGGGATGTAAACCATAAACCCCCAGCAAGTCAATACATGAAATGGCAATCCATCCTTTCACAACCAGGGTCGAGGGATCTGTTGGTTGAACAAGCTCATCCAGGGTCTAAACTGCCTCTTTCTCTACGGACAATGCAAGAAAGTCTATTAAGTGTCTTGAAAAGAACTGAATCAATGTAAGTTACTTTAAACTGTGCTGATTCTAGTTATTGTACCTGCAAAGTACCCATTTATGACGGTTGCCCTTGTGTTTCATGTGAAGATTATGGATAGCCTTGGGCCAATTTGAAGATATAAGGTTCAGTACACACCAAAATCACAAAGTAATCTGCAATATTTCCAATACTCAGTGCTGAATAACATTGGTTAGTATTGCACCAAAAAGTTTAAGAAAAGGAATCACCTAGTATTATTATATTTTATTTTATATTTTATTTACGGAAGATGGTTTTCCAGGAGAGTGATAAATATGTCTACAAGTGGTAGTCATGGTAGTGCGTATTATAGTTTTGCCTTAGTTTGACAGCATCACTCCTCGTGCCCCACCTCTAGATTCTGGTAATACGAGCCAGAGGCAACTCTGGGGTTTCATGTCCAAAAGTGCAGGGGCTGTCTGTTTTCCCTCCGCAGTACCTCCTCCTCTCCTCCCTCGTGTCACACACTTTCCTCTCCACTCTCACACTGGCAACCTCTGTTGCAGGGCAACGCAAACTTACCAAGAAATAACTAATCAAGAATCACTTCTCTAAACAACGACTGTCCCACTTCAACTTTTGAATGTCACTCACAGGCACTGTTATTCAGCCCTGCCTGCTTGGTTGCTATATCATAACATCTAGTCTCTCCCTGCATTCTTCAGCTATTTCCCCTCAGCAGACTCACCTTTGACCTCCGTCATTCCATTCCAGTACTAAATTGCTATGCTGCCTTTTAGTGCCACAGAGAAATGTGCAGCTCACACCCCTTCAAGTGCAAAAATGGGAAGAAACGCCCCTCACTCTAAAACCGAGGTTAAGATACGACGTTTCCTCGACTAACGGAAACAGATACCCACACGACATATGCAGATATGAATTTCTACCACCACTGAAAGTTTGCATACTTTAAAGTTCCTCTTTTTTCTGTGTATTAATCCTTACTTGAGTTGACTTGTATACTTTCCTATGCTTGAATTCTACCATTCACAATTCAGTCTACCATTCTTAGGCTGTACCTTGAATGCATAGGATGCTTAACGTGAAGTAGCCCTCAAGTGCTGACTAAGGATCCATTTTCCTGCCCCCATTCCTTTTGCTCAAGTTTAGTGTGCGTGTGTGCGTCCGTAAGTGGGATTTTCAAGCAAGCCCAACCCCAGACTAGAGTCTAAGGAAAACTCCATAAAACTCTGGGGGTGGGACTGTATATGTGTGGTGTCTTGAGTGTTGTTTATGTCCGCCTCGAGACGCCCCTATGACCAAATGACAATGCTTACACACTCTCGTACTAGTCTTTAACCCCAGACACTGTAGCAGAGCTGTAAACATGTCTAAAGGGGAAGAAAATATCTATTTAAGGGCTTTGCGGCCATGGCTACGTCTTAAAAAAACCCTGCACATTCTACTGTCTAATTATAACTGTCTCATTCTAGTCACCAAACCCATAGAAGAGGAACCTCTGTAGCAATAGCATCTGCAATGTATTGAGGTTCTTTTGTGTTGGATTTCAGCCTCGGACTCCCCAGCGTTAGCTCCTTCACCTCGCTGTTTCAAGCCCCCCCACCAAAACGCCCCACTCTTTTCCAGATGTGTGTCTTGCACCACCAGATGCTCAGCACATGCATACCATGCCTTAAGCTCCTACAGGGGGGCTGACAGCCACACAGGGACCTTGTGTGGTGAAACAATACAGCCTCTCTCTCTCTGTGTTCCTCCCTCGACAACAATCCTCACTGCCGCAACTGCTTTTAAGAAGAACCCCCATCCTCCTCCTCCTCCTCCTCCCCCTTCTTGTGCACGGACATAGAAAATGTCCGGACACCAAGGACTGAGAGAGAGGAAGGAAAAAGAAGTAGTGAGTGTGTGGCCAAGACAAGAGAGAAATAAAGACCAGGGGGAGTAAGGTTGGCAAGGATCGAAGAGAAAAAGTTGCTGTTGGCATAGGACTGCTTATTGTTTTTATGGCTTGCTTTAGTTTAGCTTTTTAACTATTAAGTTACTAAACACAAATAAGGACCAGGACATTGTATGGATCTGATATTGCAGCCACTGCATAGAAAGCTTCCCTCAAGAGCCTTAAAACTGTGTGCGTTCTCCCCACATTAATTTCATATTTGATTACAAGATGAAAAGGGTTTTGTAACACCACTCCTTCAGCAATCGAAGGGTTAGCTATCAGCGGTGTTGTAACTGCTGCGATGCTGTGGGTGAAGTTGGAGTTATTTGCTCAAGTTACAACCCTCTTCCACCACGATCCACAGGATGGGTGAGTCATGCGTTCAAGGACTTGGGCGCTTCGCTGTTGTGGGAACATTTCCATTTTCTGATTTCCATGAGACCACAGAACAAACTAAAATGGCCTCCCTGATTCAACACTGTGGTGGAAGATGGTTGCGCCAAAATGATCTTGAATCACGCTTAGTAAGTTGGAAAAAATTACACATCTGACTCACTCTGGGATGTGATTTCTTCCTTGTGTATCTCTCGTGTGTGAGTGTAAGGGTGTGTCAGAAAGAAAAAAGAGATCTACCCAAAATCTTCTAAGCTTCAGAATTTAACATATTTAGTGATTAAACTGATTGTGTTAAAAACATTACTATAACTACAGCTGAAAACTGACATTTAAAGATGATGTGAATTTATAATGTGGATGCATATAAACTGTAGTCATATGGGTTGGTCCAGGTGTCCTATTTTACCTGCAGCTACTGTATATATACAACACAATGAGGCACTAAACAAAGAAATCAGTTATAGCAGAGGTGAAAGGATAAGCCAGCCTGCAGGTGTGGGAACGGTCAACAAATGATCAAAGGTCTACCAACGTTAATATGGTTGGGTGTGCCCGATTAAAACAAATGCTTCGTCATCAGTCCAACAGGAGTCTACCAGGCAGAGAAAAAATCATAAAGCCTTAGAAACATTTTCCTCAAGCGTTAGAAAAGACAGAAAATTAAATTAAGTTTTAAGCTTCATTCAGTCTGATCTATGCAGTCGATCCCTTATAATGGAAATCATTTCTTCTTATACCAACTTGCAGAAGTACCATCTGAAAAATGCCATTTCTGCATTTGAGTGGGGTGTGGTCAAACCATACGACACATTCTCTGATCACAGATCTGCCTGATATATGTAAATAACTCACTTTTCATTCTCAAATATTATGCATTTATAATATACTGTCTGTGTGCTGTATTTACTACATGAAATTGTAAGTGGATTAACTTAAATATCCAACAAGCATTGCAACATTGTCTACATAAATAATTGTGTAGTTTAATAGTGGTCAGTGTAGGCTTTTCTCACATTATCACTGCTCATTTCCAGTGTACATACATTTATTTAAAACGCAAGTAGATTTAAATCGGAGATTGTGGTAAAACAAAACACTGAAGACATGAGGAAAAAGTAGAACTTTTATGTTAATGACCCTTGTAGATCACGTTTCCAGGGGCATTTAAGTGCACATTCTTTATGAAGATTTGCTTCATGTTTCCTTCTCCTTGGGGAAACATCTAAAGAACCCCTAGTTTAAAGCAGTTCAGTTTCTGGTCTTACTTTGAGCAAACCACAACTCAGCCCAGTCATTTTATTTCCTTGCAACATCCTCCCAGTGACAGGTCTTTGCCTGCCCTCTGCAGGAATAAGAGAGCACTGCAACATAAGCTCAACCTACAGCACAAGCTGAGAGGCAACAGTAATAAACAGCTGCTGCTCGGGGGACTCATTTAAGTGGTCTAGATACAAAGTGTTTCCCAGTGCATGCTAAACTAACCAATTTACAACATTAACAGTAACTTGATACCTAGCTGAAAATGATTTTTTCCATTGAAAATGTTTATTAATCGTGCACCAAATGAAATATTCTAAAGTAGCTGTCTAGGAAAACATTTAGGAAATGAAATGCATGTGGATGGGTTGCCACTCAAAAGGCATAAACTTTAAAACAAACAAAACTGAAGTCAGACCACACACATCAAGTCCCATAGATGGCATTGTGGAAAATGCTTTATTTCGCAGGTCAAAACATCAAAAAACCAGTTTGGGGCCACAGACAAAATTCATTCTTGTCTTCAAACACTGTCATTTCCAAGTCATTCTTGCAGTAAAGTAAGCACGTGGTGGCTGAGAGTCCATAGGTTTTAAGTGCTGGGAAACAGAAGCGCAGAGTGCTTTCGTTCAGGCTGTCCCAGTGTCCCCTCATTTGAAGACCTTGCCCTGGTTAAAGGATTTGCCCACGTGCTTGAACTCACCCTCCCAAGCAAAGTACTCCTTTACCATGGTCTTGCACTCCTCGCTGTCTGGATCCAGCTTGCGCCAGTCATATGATTCATAGTCGATCTGCCAGTCTGGAGACAGCTAGAAGAGGGAATAAAAACAATGCGCTTATTAGATGTCAGTGAATTGCCTTCAGCTTTGATACATTAATAATGTACCACAACCAATGGTGTGTATCTGTTAATTTAAGGAATGTCAAAATTTAAAAACATTTACAGATAACACTTATTTACAGTCTGACAACTGAAAGTTTTTGTACCCATAGTATGAACCAGCCTCTTACTCACAAACAGAGTGGACTGGGATGAATATGGTCTCTAGTTTTTCTTCCCCTGTCAGATTAAGACTTNNCACTGCCTTGCCCAATGACAGGGGGCCGACCACTAACACAGAGACTACCAGCCAATATAACATTTTGTCTCGGCAAACTTGAACACTGCGTCCAAGCGTTTTTCAAAAACAGGCAGTATTTACTGCCTGTTTTTGAGGGTGGGGATGTGAAATTGAACATTTGTGCTAAGTGTTTTTAGCCTTTTAAACACTTACAGTGAAGGCCAGGTCCTGGCCTCTGAAGATCCAGACACCAGAGATGCTGCTGTCATTGTTGGTGCCGAACAAGAGGACACTGGCGAAGGCGTTCTTTCTGAGTTTGTCCAGGCGTTGGAACATACCTGCGGAGAACATGGAGGGGCTTTAGATTGATTGTTTATCAAAAAACAAAAATTAACATACAATGTAATATCAATTGTACCCCATACATTGCCCAATGTTTGTTTTAAAGGATTTCATTGAACACTTGTTTATTTTCTTCCCCACATCGACTTCAAAGCTGTCTTTTCAGATATGGCCACACATGTAGAGTAGCTCTTATATCGTAACATTTGAGTTACCTAAGGTAGTGTCTTTTCACTGTGCCCATTGCATGAACCAGCCTCTTACTCACCTACAGCAGAGTGGTCGTGTGGGATGAACATGGTCTGAACTTTTCTCTTCCCCTGTCAGATTAAGACTGGTGCCATGATGGACACTGCCTTGCCCAATGACAGGGGATTCTTCTCTCCCTGGGGGGGGGGAGAGATACCTGGTTGCTGCCCAACAATGAACTTCCATGAAAGCTGTGCTACATTGAAAACTGAAATATAAGCCAAAGCCACTCCAACTGATTGGAAGAGAAGCAGCTCTGCGTCACTTTAAAAAAGTAAATCCATTACTTAATTTTTAAAAACATACATGCAACTTTTTATTAAGGAGTCATAACCAAAACACAGATCTGATTTGTGTAGTCGCACTCATCCAGCAACACTCTCCCCCCCTTTTATCTACTTTCAATGCCACAAGGAAGTTGTCCTCGAAGCCCATAAATTCTCGTTATCATATTCAATATTGTGCCGCCCTGGAACGATTTGAGCCAACAAGGACAAATGGAGGAAACTTGGGCCAACACATGAACTGGAGAACTGCCACATGTGAAGGACCAAGCCCAAAATTCCTTTAATCACTTTCTTTCCAACCTCTAAGCCACTACATGGCCACAGAAAACAAGTGGAGGAAAATAACTTCTGTACACTACACAACCCCTGAAGTCATTCTTTCATAGACCAAGGTGTTGGGTAAAGTGGCAGTTGCCGAGTCTCACCTGTGATAAGGTTGCAGCTCTTGAAGGTAAGTGTAAGCTCCTCGGGGTATTTGTACTGGCAGTACCAGATTGAGTACCCCTCCCGGTCAAAGTTCTCCCAGAAGTGGGGAATGGCTACTGTCAGGGTGTCCTCGTTTGAATACTTTCTCTTGAACTCGTCCATGACAAAGGGGCTAAGAAAGAAAAAGGAAGAAAGATCTGGTCATATTAATGGAGAAAGACAAGATGTGGCGTGTCAAAAAGGACATGTTTAGTGTAACTAGTTTCTTTATTACACCAGAACACTAACTTGAACTCCTTTCTTTTGTGTTTGAAAAAGGGACATTTACAATTGTCCCTAAAAGAATTCAGGGACAGTTGCGTACATAACCTAACATGTTACAGATTTTGGTTTCCATACCACAATAAACTGTAGATCAAGATTTGATTTGTGCCCATTGCATGAACCAGCCTCTTACTCACTACACAGAGTGGACTGGGATGAACATGGTCTGAACTTTCTCTTCCCCTGTCAGATTAAGACTTGGTGCCATGATGGACACTGCCTTGCCCAATGACAGGGGACCACTTGTTTTCCCCAAAGAGGGGAGGTTTGTGGTTGGTGTACACGCCTGTGACTGCCCAAAACATATTCTGCAGACCACACAGCTTGCACTGTGAGCAACTCAATGTTTAACCAACACTTAATACACTGAAAGCATAAAGATCTTTCTACCTCTTTGCCAGGTGTGCAAAGGGGTCCTTGGTTTTGGGCTCAGAAGCCAAAACGGCATCACAGTCATCCATCTCCTCTTCTGGGGCGGGCTTCTTCTCTTCCTTTTTCTTTTCTTTCTTCTCCTGGGGCTTGGCTGCCTCTTTGCCTGCCTTCTCTTTCTTAGGTGGGGTCTCTTTCTTGGGCTGCATCTCAGCAAACTTCTTGGCTGAAGGAAGAGAACATAACAATGAACAACATGTTTTCTGTTAAAAGGTTCCATGATCTGGCTTTGGTTGACACACTCTAGCACCACTCTGGCTAGGACTTCGGGAGATGAATTGCAAAATATTTCCAGCAATTTGACATCTGTTTAAAAGTCCCAGTCCCAGAAAGTCCTTCAGTAACTCATTTAAATTATTGTAAACAACAAATAGAAAATGTGTTTGTCAAATGGCCGCTAGTTCTTTTAGTGCAATACTTTAGCCAACCATTTAATTTCCTCATATTTACAAGTACAACTCTACAAAGTTCACTTGAGTTTCAGGGGAAGATATTTCATTAGAACAAACCCTTTCCAAAAGTGAGTGAAAGCAGCAACATAAGCTATTGTTTAAACAATTTACAACATCCTGAAAGCAATTTAATTACATGTGATTTTGGACACCAGCTAAACTACTGAAAATTCTGACAAAAAGTATGCATCTAATTTTATCCTTTAAATGACATGCACCAGCAGTCCACCGCATGCACTGTGTGTCATCTGATCTCATTGCTGGTTACTCACCATCAAACTGGGCCATCTTTTCACACAGCTTAACCTCTCCAAGGACAGCCTTGAACTGGGGCTGGTTGACACAGGTGACGAACCAGCGAGTCACGTTGGTGTAAGGCTGACGGAAAGAAGGCTCAAGGACCTACAGGGGACAGACAGGTGTAAGGGCCTTCCGGAGAGAATCTTGACTCAAATATCAAGAGATCAAGTGTTGCTCCAAGTAGTGTTAGAATGAATGAACATGGGTTAGGTTCCTGTGTGTATGTCGAACCTGTTTGTAGAGCCAGAGCATGGAGCAGGCCACAGTGATGTCAGCCAGGCTGATTCTCTCTCCCACCAGGAAGGTACGAGTGTTCAGGTGTTGGTTCAGCAGTGCAAAGGCCCTCTTTATGTCTTCCTTGGCCTGCTCTGTGGCCTGGACAGTTCCAGAGAGAAGAATTACTATGCAGGATTAGACAATATATAAAACTCTTCTACATGGTCATGTGCCAAGTCTCAACTACAGGGTGCTGCACTGTGGCCAACTGAAACTGCCACTAATCCTTCCCCACAGCAACCAAATCACACTTAAAGTCTTTAGCTTGACAAAAAAAAAAAAAAATGCTGTGCTGCAAACCTGCTTGTTGAACTGCATAATTCCCAGAGTGGGGAAGACCCATGCGCTGGCTGGAGGGATGATCTCTGAGTCAGCGAAGCTCACCCACTGCAGCACCTGGGCTGCGGCCTGGGGAGTGGCCCCACGCAGGGCATCATTGCTCACTGTAGTTGAAAGATGGAAAATGTTTAAGAAATCACTCAAATCTCTAGAGTCATGACCATTTCATACCATTCTATATTATGTGCGCTAAACACAGCCAAACACAGCTA